GCACCACGTGGAGGTAAGTCTATCGCACACCCCAAATTTCCATCATTGAATATTAGAAATCTGTTGTTGTTGGAATGGGTGAACTGGATTGCGCCAACTGATTTCACGATTTACATGCGGGCGGGGAGTGGAAGCTAAGTTGTTTTCTGTCTAGGTTGGAAACAAATGATCTTATATTCTATCTCATTTGTTGCAGTGGTACCCTCTCGACGCTGATAAAACAGTTGACTGTTCACAAATCCCGGTTCCTTTCATAACCTATTAAAAAAAGTGACCTTGTATTTGATGCATGAAAGTTTTTTTGTGATTACGACAATTCGTGCTGCAAACAAAGTGCTTTTATTAATCACTTCGAATTTAGCACATTGATCATCCGTTTCCCATGGATCACTCTCTCTCTCTCTCTCTCTCTTTCTATCTCCTCCACCTATAGTTCATTGACAATTTGCCAGCAATCAATAAGTTCGCACTTTCTTCATTCAGTTTTCTACTATATTCTTTCCCCTACACATGCGTCCCCGTCCCTCCCCCCAAACCCCCCACCGAACTCTTTTGAAGTCTACTTCCGCTGTTATCGCGCATATTTAGCCGATTATTTAAGCCGTCTAAGAACGCGAATTGCCTCGCTTTACTTGGACGTCATTGATGGTGTAGGTGCGTATTTTCTTTCTAGATTTCTTCGCTAATATGTGTAAATGTAAGAATCAGATATTGAAGTTTCTGTTTACGTTCTGTTTCCGTGTTTCATTAACTGTTGTTCTTCTTTTACCTGCTCGACAGGACCAAATTGTTGCTTGAATTCAGTTCAATTATCGAGTGCCCTTCAGAGTGAAGTGTTCTTCATTTCAAACTCTTTGTTTTACTAAGTATCGATTCGCTCTTTGTTCCATTAACTAAGTCTTTTTTCTTAATATCCAATTAGCTATTGCTAGATAGCGACAACTTCTCAAGGGAGCCATCAAGCGTGTTTCCACTGATGAACTGGAGGCAGGCTCTACCTGCCATCATGGTAGCACACACATACAAGTTCGTGGATTGTGAAACAGAGTGGTTTTTTTATGGTTATTGTGGTGTGGTGGGCATTTCCTTTCTCTCTCATCGTTTGTGTCTCCTTTACTTTCTGGGTTTCTCTATGTGCCTTATTCAAACGCCTTATTCACTTTGTGTTTCTTCATGATGTGACCATAAGAAGGCACTACTTTTTTGCGAAACCAAATAATCGTTTGTGACCTGGAATGGTTGTTAATACGGGTCCGTTCGAATGGCAGTGCGCAGCGATCCTCATCTTGATGCTATTCTGAGAAAGCTGCCTCAACAGACGTAAGAATTTTCCACACACACACACCCCCCCCCATTCATCGACTCATACATGTTGAGATCTGAAAAGTCTCCTTTGTTTTTTTTTTTAAATTCTTGTTCTCAATTTCGGGTCTCCGTTTTTATGCAGTCTAGCTCTTTTGGAAACTCGTGTCTACAAGTTTTGTATGTTTTATGTGCAGGACTGCCGTTAAATTGTTTGTGCGCTCCTGTGGCACATTTACAGCGCTTATTTTTATCATCAAAATCTCCCGACATCAAAAATAAACACACACACACACACACACACACACACACACACACGCATACTCTTTTCAGACTAATTTCCAAATTATTGTTATTATTGTTATTTTGTCTGCTTCTTAACGAGGAAAAAAAGCGAAAATAGTCTGGCGACAGGAGGAGTTATGATTTACGAGCCGGTTCAATTTCTTACTAAATCTAATCTAAGCTTACCCTTGAGGTAGTTATTAGGGGGAGGGGGGTTGGGGGTGGGAGTGGCGGCGAGGAGGTTGCGTTAAGGATGCTTTTCTTGCGAAAGTGTTGCAAAGTTGCCCCACTTCTTGAAACATTCCTCTGTGTCTGCCAAATCACCATTGTAAATAGGGGCAAATTAGGGCGTGTGCCAGAAGTTGAAAGAGAGGTATCCTTTCATCTTATGGCAATTTTTGTTATGAAGTGGGCATTAGTGAAAAGGGGGATTCCACTAGCAGAAATATTTTAAACTGCCCGTGGTGTTGTGAAGGGCGGCTTCAAAATTGACCAAGTTTAAGTGAATGTTTTCCCAGTTGCCTTGCACCTGATGTTGACCTTTTATCCTCAGTGAGATTGGATCAACTGTTTGTTGACATCGCGTGATAGCATTGTGAGCTTTCTTTTGTCTCTCCCTCTCTCTCTCTCATGTTTACGATGGCATTTTGGAACGCATTCGTGTGGAATCTCCGGGGTCAAACTCAAGGAGTGCTGTGATCTCCAAGTCTCCCTTCTACCTGTAGGACACGGCACAGTTAGGGAGGGAGGGGGGTGGGGCTGGGGACCCGGGTTGGAGTTTAGATAGTCTGCCAAGTTCTAGGATTGTTCAATTTACAAGTCGAATCAGCGTCATTATTTTTGTCTTTATTTCTCTGCCTCCCGCGATTACTCGTTAACACTCTCTCCTCAATACCCTTAGCTCTCTTTTCTCTGGTGCAGCCTCTTTCTGGCCTGTTTTTCTTGCGAGGTCTATCGGGGTTCCCACTGGTTTTACATATGGAGGAGGGGGGGGGGTTATAGTTTCTTCAAACTCTGGGGCCATAAGAAGCTTGATTGCGGACTTGAAGTTGGCATTTACTTTTTATTTCAACCCGACTTTTGCGTTTAACTACTAAAAGTGCTTTCCCCCTTTTTTTAAACCGGGTATAAATAGATTTGATCACCCACTTCTGCCAAAAGGAGCAAGCGGTCAGATGAAAAGCTTACAGTGACACCTCCACGTTTATAAAGCGGTTAACTTTGATCCTCTTCTCTTCTCCTAATAATAGCAAATAAAGCTTATTATTATATGTTGTCATGTTTAAGTTGCGCGTGAGTATGTCATCATCTCTTGTAATCCTGATGACAGTTAATGACAGTACTGAAGTGAATAGGTGGGGTGGGGTGGGGGGTTGTTCGGAGGGGAGGGTAATTTTGGGTCATTACAAACGGGTTTCTTAGTAAGCCTCTAATTAGAATTCATGGCGTCAGCTATAATTGGGGAGGCTCATCTACTTCCATCTCTGTTTTAAAATCACATTTAATCTGTACCCTTTTTTCCCCCCACCAGAAAATCGAGAATTTAAAGCGGAAGACCTTTCGGTTCTTGCCTTACGAATGCTTGAAGAGGTGAGATTCCGCAAGCACTATTTATTTACTTAGTTAATTTATACATTAATAACCTTCCCTCAACCCCCCCCCCCCCCTCCCTTGTTGCCTATGTCGTTTCTTAGCACATGGCTGTGTTCTTCGATGTGGTCTACAAGAGCGAGGAGAAGGATCGTGTGCCTTCAGCTCTTAACAACGGCATTCTCACCAACATTCTACCCTTCTTGAGGTCCCACAAGTGAGTATTGCATGTGAATTCATCATTATAATTTCATTTAAACTCACTCTTTAACCCCCCTCCCCCCCCCCCCNCCCCCTTTAACCCCCCCCCCCCCCCCCCCTTTGCATTAACATTGGTCGTACATCCATGATTTCGTTTCTCAATTCGTTAGATCAGCCTAATTGCCATTAATTCTCTCTTGAGCTATATGAGAGTGTTTCTACTTCGGCACTTTCGAATTCTGCCCACCTTAGAACCCAATTTGACGACACTCTTCCTGTGTGTTTGCTAGTACTGTAAAGTGGTACAGCTGAAACCGGCTACTTAATATTCGCTTTGGATGATGCGTTTTGAGGCCTGATTTGAGACTACTTCAGTTATCTACAACCCCCCATTCTATACCTATACACTAATTCATAATCTCTCCGTTAAATAGTACGGGACTAAACGGGTGTCTGTATAACGTGTACTTTGAAGTGTATTGAATTAATATTTGCTGATGGAGATTTTACAAGTAGCTAATAGTCCTCTTGAATTCTCTTTGTCATCCGTACCGCTTCTTAATTGTTTTGTCCAACTTTTATGGGGCAGTTGGTTCCTTTGTTTCTGGTAGAGGAAGATCGCTTTCCACAAGGAGCAGTTATTCATGAATTTGACCAGAGATTGATTTTTGATGACTGACGATATGCAATCGATTTTATTTCCATGTAACACTTCTAATTTGGGTGACGGTTCTTCATCTCTTGCTTTACTAATTTGAAAGATCGTAACGGACACGATTACTTGACAAAACATCTTCACAGATTGGGAGTATACACTCAACCCACATGCCCTCTATATAACCTACATGAGGAAATGGAGAAGACCCACCTGATTCGATGTCCAGCTCTAAAGACAACGACGGAAAGCCAGAGATACTTGGAAGCAAGAAGACGGCTAATGAACTGCTATTAATTAACTGCTATAAATGTACCCCCCACCCATGGGGGAAGCTGAAGTGAAAGTTTAAGGGCTAATGATAAATATCACAAAGCCTACCATTTGAAATAATAATAATTTAAAAGATCTGGTATTGGCGAACATTCTACCATTGGTTGGGTTTGACTTCACAAACACCGAGAGGGATTTAGCCTATCCATCATTGATGCTTCCATTACACCTTCTTCTACTCTATTTCCTATGTAGCATTGGCAACGCTTTCCACTACAACGCAGCGAGTCAAGTTATGGCGGCTCTGAGCTCCTACCAATTCACCCGACGCGCTTGGCGTCGCGACATCTTTGAGCTCTTTATTGATGCGGCATTCTTCCAGGCCACGCCTGCGGCTCTCCACGCCTGGTGCACCATTGTCGACAATTTAATGACTCAGGAGAAGAGCATCTTCAAGGAGGCCCTGGGTAAGATTTTCCCCCTACTTTTCTTTATTCTCAATTTTTATTCAAATCCTGTCATCCTGTGTCATCAAATCGTTCAGTCGCATTTGACTCCCAAGCCAATCACTTTAAGCGAGGACTTTCTAACACACGCACCTCATTGGGTGGATTATATTGGGTGGGCAACTAAGTCATTGCCGTTTTTGTTGACAGATTCACTCTATACTTTCTTTTGTTTTGTTAATGTGGCCAGAGCATCTAACCTATATTTTTTTCTTACTGTATGGGCTTCTAGGTTAATTAGTAAAACATTTTTTTGTTTAGTTCTTTAGTTTTGTTTTTATCCCAATTTAAAAATGAAAGAACAGGACGTGCACTTCCGACACATTTTATTGTATTACTTCCGAAAAGGCAAGAACGCATCGCAAGCACAAAAGAAGTTATGTGCCGTATATTGAGATGAAGTCTTAAAAGAAAGGCAGCGTCGAAATTGGTTTGAAAGATTTCGTTCTGGTGATTTTTCACTGAAAAATTCACAACGATCTGGCCGCCTAGTCGAAGTGAATGAAACCCATATCAAGGCCATTATCGATTCAAATCGTCACAGCACAACACGAGATATTGCAGAGAAGCTCAATGTGTCGCATACATGCATTGAAAAAAAATTACAAACCCTTTGTTATGTCAAGAAACTTGATTTATGGATCCCTCACCAGTTAAAGGAAATTCATTTGACGCAACGGATTAGCATCTGTGAATCGCCGCTACTGAAACGCAATGAGAATGATCCATTTCTGAAGAACCTAGTTACTGGCGACGAAAAGTGGATAGTTTATAACAATGTTACTCGCAAGAGATCATGGGTGAAGCAAGATCAACCAGCCCAAACAGTATCAAAAGCAGCAGAGATTCACCAAAAAAAGATTATGCTGTCAGTCTGGTGGGGGGATCACAAAGGAATTTTGTATTTTGAACTCATGCCGCAGAACCAAACGGTAAATTCAAATGTGTATGTTGAAGAACTCGAAAAACTGAAGGATGCAATTGAAGATAAGCGGCCGGCATTATCAAATCGGCGGAAGGGTGTTGTTTTCCATCATGATAACCCAACGCCCCACACATCTTTGGTTACTCGGCAAAAATTATTGGAACTGGGTTGGGATGTTTTGTCACACCCACCATATAGCCCTGACCTTGCGCCTTCGGATTGCCATTTGTTTCGTTCCATGCAAGACTCTTTAAATGGTAAAATTTTTAACAACGCGGATGATGTCGGATCACACCTAATTCAGTTTTTTAATAACAAAGACCAGACATTTTACGAACGGGGAATTTTTACTCTGCCAGAACGATGGAAAAAGGTCATCGACAAGAACGGCCAATATCTAATTGAATAAAGTTATATTTTTAAACAAAAATTCCGAATTTGCCTTCTTATTTGAAATCGGCAATGACTTAGTGGCCAACCTAATAGTAGCCTCTCATGACGTTTCCAATCGTTCTCGTATCCTCGGTGCATGCAAATTCCTCGCGATGCACAATTGATCGACTCTCCAACATTCCCATTTTCACACATAGCTAACAGTAATCTACTGGGGGCAATAAAGTCTCTTCCATTTTTTGTGAAATTTCCGCGTTTCAATGGTTATTTGCTATCTAATAAGGTGCTCGGGGATAGTCGAGGACACCGATTGTCCGTGGACATCTGCCCATTGCACGTTCAAACACGCTCTCTTTCTCATCTGCACTTAACCCCCCCCCTCCCCTCCCCAACTGCAAATATTTGTAGAGAGGCTTCAGTATGTGAAAATTTAATACCAATTTGGCAAATGTATCGCACTTGCTGACACAAACTTGGCCCTGTGGCTTCTAAGCCTACTACTTCTCCTCTGTAATTATGCGCGGAGGCTTTTTTGCCGGAGAAATTTTACTGCCTCATCCCTAACTTTAATGTTCCTTTTCCTCCTCCTTCTGTAGGCTGCGTTTCTCGAGTTCCAGTTGAAAGTACACTGGGTTTCTTTTAACATTCGTTTATTTTTACATCAAATGGCGGGCTTTATGATAGTTAGCATTAGCCCTTTTTTTGACATCTGGCTTCAAAAAGGGGGGTGGGATAGGCAAAGTCACAAAAAGTGGAGAGGGGGGGTTGGAAAAGTGATTCGCAGTTGTAGTTGACTTCAGGTCTCGCAGAGGGGTCGAGAGAAGAACAGAAGGGTGCTTCACAGATGTAATAGAGACAGGCACAAAGGTGGAGAAAATGAGAAGGTAAGATGAGTACTGTGGAAGGGGTGGAGTATGACATACAATGGGGTCATGGTAGTTTGAGGTCAGAAGTCAACTGCTGGTTTATGGACTTTTTCGCCGTATGAGTGTACGTTGCCCAGGGTGCACCACGTGGAGGTAAGTCGATCACACACCCCCTTTTAACCGTCATAGCAGTAAACACTGTAACGTCATCGCCCGGGCCTTTAGCATCCACAAGGAGCCTATATTCGCCCACCTGAATTGACACAGCTGGTCCAGATACATACGTCTTATCTATTTATTTATTCCTCGCTTTTAGTGTTTATGTGCGCTTCATTGATGTCGTTCTAGGGGGAAAAGTCAGAAGCGCGTGTAGTTGAATAATAACTTTGGAAATTTTTGAGTGCACAGAGTCTGTGTGAGTCTGCCATCTTCCTTAACTTCCCATGGTTTTCATAGCACAATAGGATGCGAAATCACACACTACTAAATAGAGGCTCTAGGTTAAGGGCAACTTCGCTAATATTTTTTGGAATGATAGCGGCAAGGGACGCACTAATCATTTTGTGTGCTCCTTGTCTGTTTATAACGCCGTTTCCACTTTCCTTCAGCTCGTCTCACAGTGTCCCAGGGCGCTGGACTGAATATCTTCTCAAGTAAAGAGGCCGAGTGTGAACAAAGGGCCGCCCATCTCAAGAAGATCAGCTTCATTGTCTTCGCCAGTGAGCGTGAGCAGTACTGTCGATCCGTCTCTGAGATTCTCGGCAAGTGATTACTCGTTGTCTACTCTCGCGTGTGCATCAGTAGTGCATTGTAACTTCAGCTTTAACTGCGTGTCCTCCTCTAGTCTACACTGCCTTATCCTCAGTCCAGTTTGCTAGATAATGCTTGTGACTTAACCACATCGCCACCAGGTTCTAGTGATGTTTCCCCCCATGGAAAGTGTAGGTCATTGATGCATTCTTTGGGGATCTCATGATTTCATGTACTTTGTACGCATTCCTTTAGGAAATTATCAGGACATCGTTATCGGCCCTGCTTGCCAATTAAGCTAATCTTACACACCACTCTCTATTGTTTTATTCTTTTTTCTTTGCAGAACGATTGACAGATAATCTTCGCATGATGACAGATTCCAATGTGCCGATCCTCACCCAAATGTTCCTCTGTACACGCGTACTGGTAACAAGGATTTCCTCGGAGTCTCTCGCTTCCCTCTGGCTTTTGGTCATTCCGGAGTTGGTAAGTGAGAATCTTAGGCGCACGTGAGATGCGCACTTCTTAAAATGAGTCTCACTACGTGCAAGATTAAAAAAAGGCCTTAGGGAATCTCGTTTAGTGGCCTGTTTCATGAAAAGTGCTTTTTAGTAGAAAATGACGTGCAGACGATGTTTTGACAGTTATCTGCAGAGTGTGCACTCATTGTGACATGCAAATTTAGTGCATGAATGCTACAGTAAATACTTGTGGTTGTATGTGTGACCTTGAATCAATTTGCCCATCGAGTCTGCCCTAAAGTTCAATGTACTTCAATTTCCTTTTTTTACCATTTCAGTAGAGTGGCACAATCACCTTAAAAGTGCGATTTCTAGTGGACTCAGTAGGGAAGGTCGATTTTGCACCTTCCTATAGTTGTTTAAATGACACAGTCTTCTTCATTACACTTTCTTTTACTAACAGGATTCTTTGCCCACTTCTCGACTTTGATGGATTTGATCCGATTGCATTAGGCCAAATGTCTCTGGCTAAATAAACTGCGGTCTTGATTTGAAATGATGTATTATCGCGTGTCAGAGGTGCAAGCACATTTATTTATTTATTTCAAATGGCAGGCATTATGATAGGTATCATTAGCCCTTTAGTTGACGTCGGGTTACACAGAGGGGGGGAGGAGGAACATCCAACCGGTAAAAAGTCGAGAGGGGGAAGAATAATGATTCACAGACGTAAAAGAGACAGACGGACACAAAGGTAGAAAAAAGGTGAGGTGAATACTGTGGAATTATTCGAATATGAAATTCAATAGGGTCATGGTAGTTTGAAGTCCGAAGTCAACTGCCGATTTATAGACTTTTTTGCCGTATGAGTATACGTTGCCCAGGGTGCACCACGTGGAGGTAAGTCTATCGCACACCCCAGGTGCAAGCACATACTTCTTATTATTACATTTTCTCCTTTAGATAAATGTTTTCCGAATCTTTGCTGAGCAAACCAATGGAAGGTATGTTTTTTTCGTTCCAGTAAATTTGAAATACCTCTCTTTTCTCTCTCTCTCTCTCGTTTAACTAATGGTGTGAATTTGGAGACGAAGGAAACATTTCAATTCGCATTTGAGTATTTTATAATAGGACTTACTAAGAATATTTGAGTGATGATTAATGGCGTAAAGCTGGTAAGAGGCAATAGGTTGGTCGTGGAATGCATGCTAGTGCATCACACCCTTCCTTCTGCGCAAAGGGATCCTTTCACTATTTGGCAGTTGTCCCCACCCCCCAAACAAATTTTTGCACCTTCATGCGGAGGCGATTATTGTTTCTAGCTTATCTTCCGTTCCACTGGCTATCTCACTTCTTAATTACTAAGCTCAAATTGAAGCAGTTGTCTCATGAGCCCACCAGCTCACTACTAACACGCGATATCCCCCCCCCCCTCCAAATTGTGTTGACGCCATGGTCGAGAGAGAGAGAGAGAACTACTTTCCTCAGATTTGTCGCGTAATTAAATTTGCACAGTTCTAGGAAGCATTCAGCGTTCAAGCATAGGGACTTACAAAAGTTGCCCCAGTCCCAGTTGAATCTCCTTCTCTCGGCTTCAAAGCTTCTTGCCACAATTCTCCTCCTCCCCGAATCGACTGTTCCCCAACTTCTCTTGTGAGTTTGAAGGACACTTAGAGCTCTTTTCAACTTCCTCCATGATTTTAGGTGATACACTGTGCACAAAGAAGGTAGAGAAATTGATGCTTAAAATGGAAATCGTTCCCTAATTCTAGTATCTCTTGACATTGAGTCCTATTCGAAAATGTATAATTCCTCTTTGTAGTTGAAAAAGTTTTAATCGCCTGTTGTTAAGCATCGGGGCGTATGTAGAGAGTGAACTCTTTAAATTCCCGATTTTTAGGGTTCTTTTATGACCGACTTTGTCGCTCCATTAAGATCTTGACAGAGAGCTGATAAACTCTGCTGGAATGGCTTGAAACGATGGGATTAGCTTCCCATCAGAGGCAGTGTTCACAGCACTTAGTTTTGCTTGAGGGAGGAGGCATTGGAGACGCTTATTATGGGACGCCCGCTCCCGTAAGTGACCCCCACCCTCCGTATTAACCGCGGGCACGTTGTTCCCATGATTTCTGTGGTCTTGCAGATGTGCTGCAATACCCCTTCCCGATGGGTTTGCGAAATTTGGCACTTACCTCGCTGTGCCGTCTACATTTTATTTTGTCTGAATTTCAGGATAGTAACCTTGTCACGCGTGAGGTCCCGTGTGTGTGTGTGTGTGTGTGCAAATTATTTTGCTGACCTCATTGTCGTGATGCAAAAGGCCTATTTCAAACTTGTGGTTGAAAAAAAACGAGTAAAAACTTTAGTTTCACAGAAATGAATCGCACTCCAGAGTTTTCATTTTTTTGTCGTCTCAAAATCGGTTTATCTGCCTGCATGTCTGTTTGAACATAGGAGTGTGCCTGGGGCATTCTTTGAGCTCTACACATAGGATGTTGGGGAGGGGGTTGGTAGTAATCAAACAAAAGTGGACTTATCTTGTCAATTTAATGTGAGACGCTTCATAAACCCACATTCCAGGAATGGTAGAAATCGTGAGGTTGAAGGCGCTGTCGTTTTCTTTATCATTTTAGCCAACGCTGGGTGTTTGTAAACCGCGGCGTGGGTCTACATCAAGGTACGATGGATGAATCCAACGAAAACGACGGCACTTTCCATCCGTTTATGAGTCAGATTGCTTCTGGACTCGCCTCTGTGAGTTGTCTATTTTTAAAAAAAATTGCATCAAATCGATGACATAAGGAAGCGTCCATAGTTGAAAGAACTGCTATTTGCCTCCAATACATCAGCAATTCATTTAATATTAAACCAATAATTTTCGAGGATGAGATTGGCTAGCAACATGCTTTCCAAAGACTCCCTTTTATTTTTTTTCTATCATTAATTGGTACTAATTCGTCGACAACAGTGTTTCCAGCTAAAAATGAGCCATTTTCAGTTATCGAACTTAACTCTCCTCACCACTTCAAACACATCGAGTAGTGACATTGAATAATCTGGCGTTAAATTAACTGAATATCTTTTTTTCTTAACCAAATAATTTACATAACTCTCCTCTTCTCCTTTTTGTAGATTTACCAAAGTGAAAATCAGATCTACACTACCCCATTATTGTCAGTGCGAAACGCCTGCTATTTCATTCTCGCCACGAAAACCGTCACCGATTTCGAACGCCTGGAACTATTTTTCAGAAGGTCAATTCCTCTTTATTAGTTTATATTCAATTTGCTTATTTCCATAATGACATAATAGGGTGGGGGGGGGGGGGGGGGGGGGAA